TCCCGTATTTGTGGATTTATCTATCTGCAGTTTTTGTAGTTGGTGCCTTTTGGATGGGGTCTCTGAGTGGACGTCCTTTTTGTTGATGATGCAATTATTTCTTTCTGGTTTTTAGTTTTCCTTCTAACAGTCAGGCCCCTCTGTTGTAGGGCTGCTGGAGGTCCACTCCAGACCCTGCTTGCCTGGGGATCACCTGTGGTGGCTGCAGAACAGTAAGAGTTGCCGCCAGATTCTTCTTCTGTTATCTTTGTCCCAGAAGGATACCCACCAGATGTCAGCCTGAGCTCTCCTTTATGAGGTGACTCTTTGGATGTACAGGGGTCAGGAAGCTGCCTGAGGAGACAGTCTGTCCCTTATAGGAGCTCAGGTGCTGAGCTGTGAGCTCTGTTGTGTTCAGAGCTGCTGGGTAGGTACATTTAAGTCTGCTGCAGCAGAACTCATAACCACCTTTTTTCCTAGGTGTTCTGTCCTGGAAAGGTGGGGCTTTATTTATAAGTTCCTGATGTGCTGCTGCATTTTTTCAGAGCTGCCCTGCCCAGCGAGGAGGTGGCCTAGTCACAGTATGCCAGCAGAGGCGTTGCTGAGCTGCTGTGGGCTCTGCCCAGCTGCTGTGTGAACTTCCTTGTGATTTTGTTTATAGAGGTATAGTTAGAACTGCCTTGGTAATGGCGGTCTGCCTTGGTAGTGGTGGACTGCCTCAGCAATGGTGGACCCCTTCTGCCAACAGAGCGGTACTGTCCTGGGTCCAGCTGCGCTTGTTGTGAAACTCTCAGTACAGAGCGTTTCAGATTGCTGGTCTTTGTGGGGGTGGGACCTGCTGAGCCAGATTGCCTGGTTCCCTGTTTCAGCCCCTTTTTTTCAGTTGAATGGCAGCGGCTCTGTCTCCCAGGCATTCCAGGTGCCAGTTGAAACGGCCACTCAGATTTCTGTGAGTTCTTGTGCAGAGACCCGCTGTGCCGGCTGAAACAACCGTGCTGGAGACTTGTGTTGCTTTTCAGCCCAGGAATCCCCTGGTCTGTGTGCGGTAATAACTCGTTTGGAAACGTGTTCACTCACCCTCAGCATTGTTCTCGCTGGGAACTGCACTCCAGAGCTGTTCCTATTCAGCCGTCTTCAAGAAAATGAATCTTTAGGAGGTATCTACTGTGTGCCAATCACTGTAAACCTTGTATTATTTTTAGCATTCAGTTTTCCAAGAAAGAAGTCAAAAGCTATGAGGTGCCTGGTTATTGATGTGTCTCTAGCCAAGGGTTACTCAAGGGGGCACTGTTAGCATTTTAATCAGCAAAGTTCTTGGTTGTACAGGACTGTGCCTGACTCAAGAGACGTTTAGGGCTCCTGGCCCCATGCTTTCCCTGCCATAGGTCTTCCCCAGTCATTGTAGCTGCCAAACCCACCCCACTGCCTTCAAAGCTTGCTATTGGTAATAGACTCTCAGTAAATACTGATGAATGATTTTTATTTTATTTTGTTTTATGTTATTTTTTTGAGACAAGGTCTCACTCTGTCACCCAGGCTGGAGTGTAGTGATGTGGTGACAGCTCACTGCAGCCTCCACACCCTGGGCTCAAGGGATCCTCCCACCTCAGCCTCCTGGGTGGCTGGGACCACTGGTGTGTCACCATGGCTGGCTAATTTTTTTGTTTAGTTTTGTTTAGGTAGGGATGGGGTTTGATCACACTGGTGAGGCTGGTCTCAACTCCTGGCCTCAAGTGATATGCTCGCCTCGGCCTCCCAAAGGGCTGGGATTACGGGCGTGAGTCACCATGCCTGGCCTGAATGCTTTTTAAGAGCCAATGTGTGGGTTCCATCTCTCAGCACGTGCATCTGTTGAATAGAGAAAAGTATCCCTTAAGCTAGTTTCATACTTTTATGAGCTGAGGTTTTCATAATACCTTATGTTTATGATATAACAATATTTTATGTAATTGGAATATAGTTCTTTTTGTTGATTAAAAATGAGTATATACCACATAGTTTATGGCTTGATTTTAGTCACCTTTTCTCTTTTTATTTATTTTATTTTATTTTATTTTTTGAGACAGAGTTTCACTCTTGTTACCCAGGCTGGAGTGCGATGACGTGATCTCGGCTCACCGCAACCTCTGCCTCCTGGGTTCAGGCAATTCTCCTGCCTCAGCCTCCTAAGTAGATGGGATTACAGGCACAAACCACCATGCCCAGCTAATTTTTTGTATTTTTAGTAGAGACGGGGTTTCACCATGTTGACCAGGATGGTCTCGATCTCTTGACCTCGTGATCCACCCGCCTCGGCTTCCCAAAGTGCTGGGATTATAGGCGTGAGCCACTGCACCCGGCCACCGTTTCTCTTAAGCATTATGGCTCATATTCATCATAAAAACATTATGTATCAGGTTTCATCATTATATTTTCTTCTTTCTTTTCAGTACATTTTCTAAGACAGGATTTTATGGTAGGAATTTACAGAAATGCTGACTACAAATAGCTCGAAATCCATTTTTCCCTAACTGTTAGCATTTATACATATAAATGTCAGAGAATACATAGACATTTTATCTTGTTTGAAGTTAAATTTAACTAGTTGGCAGTATTTCTTGGCAAACTGATAATGGAGGTATTATCTGTTACTAAATCTTCAGCCGTTTTATGTTCATCAAGTATTCTGTAGCCTGTATGTCATAAATGGGCTCTCTTGCACTTCAGTGAGAGGCGTGAGACTGGAATTCATTCATTCATTCATTCATTCATTCAATAGGTGGGTATTTACAGTACTTGGGATACATCAGTGAACAACACAGATAATGATTCCTGCTTGCACACTAGCATCGATGAATATAATAAGCAAATTACAAGTTCGGTTGGAAGGAGGTAAATGCTGTGGAGAATAATAAGGTTGGTAAGGAAAATAGGCATGCCTGGGGTTGGGCTGAAGATGCAATTTTAAATGAAGTGGTTGGGGAAGATTTCTCAAAAAGGTGACTTTATTTTTTTATTTTGTTGTTTATTTCTTTATTTTAGAGATGGGGTCTCGCTATATTACCCAGGCTGGAGTGCAATGGCTATTCACAGGCGCGATCCCACTACTGATCGGCATTGGAGTTTTTCTGACCTGGGCTGGTTCACCCTTCCTTAGGCAATCTGGTGGTCCCCTGCTCCTGAGAGGTCACCATATTGAAGCTGAACTTAGTGCAGACACCTGGTCAGCATAGCGCCCTACAGCCCAGAACTCCTGGACTCAAGCAATCCTCCCACCTCAGCCTCCCAAGTAGCTGGGACTACAGGCATGCTCCACCGCGCCCGGCTGTTTTATTGTTTTTGGAGACTGAGTCTCACCCAGGCTGGAGCACAGTGGTGCCATCTCGCTCACTGCAACCTCTGCCTCCTGGGTTTAAGTGAGTCTCCTGCCTCAGCCTCCTGAGTAGCTAAGATTATAGGTGCTCACCACCACACCCAGCTAATTTTTGTATTTTTAGTAAATGGGGTTTCACCATGTTGGCAAGGCTGGTCTCGAACTCCTGACCTCAGGTGATCCACTCAGGGTGGATTACAGGCAAGAGCCATGGCATTTGGCTCAAAAGGAGACTTATAAACAAAGATTTGAAGAAGAAATTAGTACTTACTGAGCTCGCCTTATTTCTAGGCACTGTTTTAGCAGCCAGAATGGCTGCGTAGAACCTCTGTAATCTGCAAAAATGATTTGCATGGCCAGATTATGGATGTGCACATTAAGATGAGAATGCTCAAACCACGCCTGTGGAACATGCCTTTTAACATTGATCTTTTTTTTTAAAGAAAAAAATCATTTTGAGGTAATCGCCAATAGCAGATACTTGTTTCAAAAGGAAAGAGGAAAAAGGCTGAGCCTGGAATGAGCTTTGTGTCCACGTCCAGCGGGCCTTACAGAATTATTGCTTCTTTCCACTGGTGATGTCATGGTGACAAGGATCCTCCAGGGATGACAGTGACAGAGCAGGAGATGTTGCTTCAAATAAAGACAGCTTTTGTGGAGAAGCTTAAAAACAGTGCATCAGAGAACAGGAATTTACTCCTGCTTCTGATGCCAGCGGGCTCTGTGACCTTGGGTGGGTTGCTTGAACTCCTCGCCATCTTACACCAGCTAATTATTTGTTAGACATGGTGCCTAAACACTTGATGTACATCATCCTGTTTAATGAGATAAGTTATAAGACATGAGGGGGATGAACTTCACAAGATAGCCATTAAAGTCCCTTTCCAGCTCCTGCGTTCCTTCCTTTTTGATAGTTCACAGATGCAATTAGGCTACTGTTTGTCTTATGATAAGCGTATGAATTGAAGCCAGGCCACAAGATACGATTCTTTGTCATAGCTTAAGCCGTGGAGTAGGGCTGGGTCTAGAATTCCTGGTTTTTCTCTTCCTGACATCTCTCATGGTGTTCAGAAGGCCGTGTCCTGTTTAGCAGCTTTTTTTTGGGGGGGGGGGGGGTGGAAATAAGCGAAGGGGGTTCAGCAGTGGTTTCATTGTGATCGCCTTCCTGTACAAACACCAGCGTCAGATTTCCCTTCCATTTCATGGACTCTGAATAGGACTACCAAAGAGCTAAGGGTTGGGGCTGGGGGAAAAGCAAGGGAGAAACCTTTCTCAGAGGGAAAACCCTGGTGAGACTGCTGTCTTAGGTAAGCTCCCACAGTGAAAGAACCCCAAAGGTCGTTGCAAGTTCTGCTTTCAGCGTTACTCGCTCGTTATTCGTTACTGACTTACCTCCAGAATATCTGTAAAATGATATACCCAGATGGTCCTGACGGCTCCTTTGAGCTCTAGAGTTCAAACATTCTCATGATTAGAGTGCCTTTGGATACATTTGCCTAGACAGATTTCACCCAGGACTGAGTATTTATCAAAAGACTAACGTGCACCAAACACTCTGAGCTGACTCTCACTGAGTTTTACCCACTTCTGTGGCTTGACTCCCGGCTCCCCGCGGTGTTGAAGGAAGAGCTTCTGCCCCTCACCTCCTTTCTGTCTTCTTGTTTTGTAGATGATGAGCCAGGTGGAAGGGCAGCAGAAGAACCTCGTGCACGCCATCGAGTCCCTGCCAGGTTCCGGCCCCCTCACTGCCCTGGACCAGGACCTGCTGCTCCTGAAAGCCACCTCTGCTGCCACCCTCAGCTGCCTTGGGGAGTGCCTCAGTTTGTTACAGCAGAGCGTGCACCAGGCAGGTCAGCCCAGCCACAAGCCAGGAGCCTCGGGTAAGACCCCGAGGGGTTTGTCCATGTTTGGGATGAGTACACTGTGTGTGTGTGTGTGTGTGTGTGTGTGTGTGTGTGTGTGTCTCCCATTGTCTTCGATCCACCCATCCTTACATCTGAGTGTTTCTACTGCGCTTTCTAAACTCTCCTCTTTGGGATCTATTTTTATTTTACAAGTTACAAATGTAACATTTTATGAAAAATGTAGCTCTGCATTCATCCTTCCTGCCCTTCCTCTACTGTTTGGGATCTATTTTTATTGTACAAGTTACAAATGTAACATTTTATGAAAAATGTAACTAACATATTTACAAAAATACTGTGGGACACCTTTCAGACTTTCTGGCGTCACATTGTAAGTCTCATTCCATTCATGGCATTTGCACTCAGCATTCTGTTTTTAAGCTCCACTGGCATGCAGCAGCATCTGGTTCGTTATTTCTGTGCCGTGGGGCTACCACCTTACACCCAGTCACACTTGGATGCAGACACACACACTGCCTCCAGCTCTCTGCCCTACTCACCTTGCTATAGTAAATATCCTCATGCCTGTCCCCTTATGCGGATACCTCTGGATACATGCTAGGAGTATTTCTAGCTCTTAATCAAGAAGCCAGAGACAATAGTGTACTCCCTTGAGATGCCTCAATCCTTTTAGAAGAGGGTTTAATTAATGAGCAGATAAAAAGATATTAGTGAAGATTATGATAAAGGTAAAAATAGCTTGAGATTTATATGTCACATAATTATGAAGTATTAGAATTAACAGGATAACGGAAGCCTTATTGTGCTTTGTTGCCCAGAGGTCACTTAATTAATGAAGGAACGAGGCGACGTAGGTGATAGGAAGTAAAGCCAGGCTGTGAGTGATAGTCTTTCTATTTCATGCTTTCCCCAGCTGCCCTTTGCCCTCGTTCTGCTGAAGTGTAAAAGGGACAGTTGGTTTTTCAGAGGAGACTGTGTGGAGGTAATTTGATTTTCTTTTTGTAAAATCACCATCATTTACTGAACCTGACCTCTGCTGCATGTTTTCTGAAATCTTTACAGAATAGGTATCATTATGCCCATTGTTCAGATGATAGGCTGGGGCACAGAATGATTAAACAACTTGCCCAAGGCTACCTGGATAAGTGGCAGAAGGAGGGCAGAACCAGACTCTTTCCGCTGTGGTAGGTGTCTTCCCAGCCTGAGTGAGGTTCTTTGTTCAATCCAGAACACAGTGGGCTCAGTATTCCAAACTGAGGCTGGGAACGGTGTCTTGCGAGCATTATAGTTCTTTCAGGGCAGATGTATGTATATATTTTAAAAATAATTTTAGCCAGGCGCAGTGGCTTATGCATGTAATCCTAGCACTCCAGGAGGCCTAGGCGGGTGGATCATGAGGTCAGGAGTTCAAGACCGGCCTGGCCAACATAGTGAAACCCTGTCTCTACTAAAAATACACACCCACACATTAACTGGGCATGGTGGCAGGCACCTGTAGTCCCAGCTACTTGGGAGGCTGAAGCAGGAGAATCCCTTGAATTGGGGAGGCGGAGGTTGCAGTGAGCTGAGATCACACCACTGCACTCCAGCCTGGGTGACAGAGTGCGACTCTGACACACACACACACACACACACACACACACACACAAAGGCGGAGCACTGAGAATTACACGTATAATCCCATCCCTTTGGGAGGCCAAGGCAGGTGGATCAAAAGGTCAGAAGTTCGAGACGAGCCTGGCCAGCATGGTGAAACCCCATCTATACTAAAAATACAAAAAATTAGCCTGGCATGGTGGTGTGCGCCTGTAGTCCTAGCTGCTTGGGAGGCTGAGGCAGGAGAACTGCTTGAACCTAGCAGGCAGAGGTTGCAGTGAGCCAAGACTATGCTATTGCACTCCAGCCTTGGCAACAGGAGAGAGACTCCATCTCTAAATAAATAAATAAATAAAATGAAAAGTTGCTAGAATACTATGAAAAATGCCCATCTATCCCTCTGCAAATTCCCCAGACAGTCACATGTTATGATACTTCCTTCGTCTTTTCCCTATATTATGTATTATAATTTTCTAACCACTTAAGAGTAAGTTGCAGACATGAAGTTCCTTCACTATTAAATACTTCAGTGTGTATTTCCTTTAAAAAAAAAAAAAAGTCCTCTGCTGATTCAGGAAGAAAAAAAAAAAAGAACACTCTCCTTTAAAGACAGCACAATGACCAAAATCAGTAAATTAATAAGAGTAGTCTGCTTTCCTTTGCTGGTTATCCCACTGATAACCTTTCTAGCAAAATAAAAAAATGTGAGTGCGGAATCCAGTCTAGGAGATTTGGGTATATTCAAGCATGGAGCAAAGGCACCGAAACCTGCTTTTCTGCTTTTCCTCTTCCTTCTCAGCTTTAAGAATGAATCTGAAATGCAGAAGCTCAGTGAGGCTTCTTGACATTTTCTCATCTGGAAGGAGGCTCAGTGATCCCCACTGAGGCCTGGGCACCAATTTGGAATGAGACTGGAGACTTCTCAAAGTTTCTGTGGTCTTTTTTGCTCTGTATTGTAATTTGTAGCTTCTGCAATGTAATAGGCTAATTCCAAGAATCTTTTGCTAGTAAATATAAGCTTGAATCATTTTCTTATTCCTAAAATCAATCCCTCTTGAAAAAAATATTTCTTCAGGGCTTCCTAGAAAATTCCTGCCCCCCTCACACCCCCCCCCAATTTTCACTGGACCTCTGGCATTTTCAAGGGCCTGGAGGAGCAAAGCTCAAATGGATGCATTTCAGAGGTGGGGACATGTTGAAATGGAAATTATTTGGAGAAGAAGAGAATAAGAAGTGTTCCTGAAATCATGTCACATCAGGCACTACCTCCTTCATGTCCTCTCTGTGTTGTTTCCACCACCATCAACTCACCTGTCCACTCTACTCCCCTTTTTTTTTTTTTTCTTGAGACGGAGTCTTGCTCTGTCACCCAGGCTGGAGTGCAATGGCATGATCTCGGCTCACTGCAACCTTTGCTTCCTGGGTTCAAATGATTCTCCTGCTTCAGCCTCCCAAATAGCTAAGATTATAGATGTCCACCACCACACCCAGCTAATTTTTCTATTTTTAGTAGAAATGGGGTTTCACCACGTTGGCGGGGCTGGTCTCGAACTCCTGACTTCAGGTGCTCCACCTGCCTCAGCCTCCCAAAGTGCTGGGATGCCAGGCATGAACCACCACACCCGGCTGAAGTTTTAAAACAGCCTACCATGTATTTTAAATCTGTGCTATGCATTGGGGGAAATGGAATTACTTTTTGCAGGAAAAACCTCATAGTTGCCTGTGGTTAAAATAGAATTCCAGAATCTCAAGCTAGTGGGATAGAGAATAGAGACTGTGATGGCCCTGAGAATGCTGCCACAGAATGTTTATTTAGACACTCGGGGCTCTCAGGGGTGATAGTTGCTATAGCGGCTGCCTGACACGCACTGATAAAAATATAATGGTTATGTCTAAGAAGTGCCAGGTCGGGCTGATGGAAATCAAAATCTCATTAAAGTGAAACTCTGTCATGGTTTCATTTCAGTGTTCAATGGGCAGGAAGACCCGTCCTACCTGAAGCATACCAAGTACCCATACAGATAGTTCTTGCCTGATGGCTCTTTGCCTTCTGAGCCTTACCCTGTTTTTTCCTGCCCCGCTTTTGTCCCTTTTCTGAATAAAAAATGATTTTTGGTCCTGGGCATTTTGTCTTGTATAGCATTTCATTGTGTCTTCTGGGATATATGTTTGCTTTGGAGCCTTTGTCTCCAAATGTTGCTTATTCATGCTGTTTTTGTTGAAACACGCTGAACAACTGGACTGAAATCTGAGAATGCTTTAGTATTCATCTGCCTCCCACCTACTCATCTGCGCTCCCAGACCTGTTTCTGATGTTATTATCTCCAAGATATACTGGATCTAAAGTGCTTCACTTAACTTCCGTTTATGGAGAGGTGTGTAATTAAAATTCATGAAGTCATTTGGCCAGGCACGGGTGGTTCACGCCTGTAATTCCAGCACTTTGGGAGGCTGAGGCGGGTGGATCACTTGAGGTCAGGAGTTTGACCAGCCTGACCAACATGGAGACACCCTGTCTCTACTAAAAATACAAAAATTATCGGGGTGTGGTGACATGCACCTGTAATTAACTACTCAGGAGGCTGAGGCAGGAGAATTGCTTGAACCCTGGAGGCAGAGGTTGCAGTGAGCTGAGATCGTGCCACTGCACTCCAGCCTGCGTGACAGAGGAAGACTCCATCTAAAAAAAAAAAGTAATTTGGCTTTTTGGTCAAGTCTTAAATTGTGTAGCTCTTTTACCATTCCCAGTGGCTCCCAAATCTACTTCAGCAGCTGGGTGGAGGCAAGCAGTTGATGGACTGGGGACTGGGTGCCTGTTGTCTCCAGTCTCGATGTTTGCCTTCCCTGGGCTGTGGGGAAGAGGCAGGCAGAGCCACGCTCAGGACTGAAAAGGGTTGTGCTCCCTGGGAGCCTGGGCTTCAGGTGGGTTTCAAGTGTGGGAGAGGAACTGGGCCTAGAAGGTGATTCGAGGGTACAGAGGACTCTGCCCTCCAGGCAGAGTTGGTCTGTTATTTGCTTGCAAGCCTTAACCCAGGTAACATGGTTTGAATTCCAGGCAGACACCTCTAACCGGACAAGCCCATTCTAGTGGCAGGTAGCCGCCAGAACAAGTGACAGTGGAGCCTTGGCAGACTGTGGAAGGTGACCCAGGTGCCCCTGAACATAAATGAGGACAAAAGATCAAGAGAATATATCTGAGAGGGGAAGGACCAGAGAAGAATTTAGTATACTTTCCTTAACTCCTCCTTCCAATAACTCTTCCTTCTCTCTCTCTCTCTTTTTTTTTTTTTTTTTGAGATGGAGTTTGCTCTTGTTACCCAGGCTGGAGTGCAATGGCGCGATCTCGGCTCACCGCAACCTCCGCCTCCTGGGTTCAGGCAATTCTCCTGCCTCAGCCTCCTGAGTAGCTGGGATTACAG